GCAATTAGAATTTGCTTTCTGAATAATTTAAGGACAAGATAGAAATTGAAATAGGACTAAATGATTTTGGTGAAGTAGTTGCTTTAATGAGACAACTGCTTTAATGAGACAGGTAGCTACTTTAAATGAGACAAGTAGCTACTTTAAATGAGACAAGTAGCTGCTTTAATGAATGCTTTAATGAGACAAATAGCTACTTTAAATGAGACAAGTAGCTGCTTTAATGGAACAAGTAGCTGCTTTAATGAAGTCAATGAAATTCCGTGTCATTCCACAGAAGCTGTCTCAAAATAAATGGTCTGTGAAGGTTTATGTCAAAGGTTGGAACAAGAGATACAGCTTCCTCACCCCTGAGAATGGTTTTGTGATTCTGGCACCACTGACGGGACTATTTCATTTATTTATCAATGACTACTGCAGCAGCTTCGTATATAAATAATTTACACGGCACATATCATCAATGCTTTACTGAGTAGGCTGAAACAAGGGTGAACAGTGTATTAAGGCAAGGAGGTACACGTGAACTATCTTCTCTTGTCTCTCCCATGGAGCTTTGTAGCAGTTTGGGTTAAGTTCCCAGAAAGCAGAGGCGCATACCAAATCAGTGTGCTTGAATGTTGGGAAAAGATGTGGCTGCTTTAATGAGCTGCCAGTAAATGCTGTGTTTGCACCCCGACATGCCAGCGTATTTTCCTGGAACTGAACCTATAACATTGGTTAGAATTTATTATTGGGGATGTCATATTGCTTTGCCACTTCCCAGGGGAAATTAGAATTTGAGAAGGTACATAATCTGCCCTTAACGTGTAATTTTGTATTGGCAGCCCTCGCCAATGGCGCATGTTGTGCCAATATAAATTATTTTATTTGTTTTGAATGCAAAGCACTGAAATCTTTGTCTGTCCTGGTGACTGTCCCAATTCTTTTTAGGAATGCTAAATGATCAGCTCAGCTGTCGACAATTTAACATGGGATTTTAAAGGTGAATTTAAATTGAAATGCCCTTTTGGACGTATAGAATCCAAGGAAGGGAGCATAACGATTTCTTTATTCATTTCAACGGGACAACGCAGGAGAAGGCCCTGAGTTCATTCACATCTGATTATTTTTCTATTTTAAAAAGAAAAAAAAAAACATTCTAAGCTGCAAATAATGTTTTGGGATCATCTCCTTCGCCTATCTTGCATTTTTCCATATCAGCATCCATATCTATGTTGGGCGGGAGTGGTCCATCTTGCTGGTCCTTTCCTCTTCTTAGGGCCTTCAGGCATTTGTCGAGCCTTTTCAGGAACATCTCCACATCTTCCTTCTTTATCCCAATGGCTGAGGCGGCATTGAGGTAGGAGCAACGATATTGGTCTGCATGGGCCATAAACCCTTTGAAGGTATACCCACTCACGGTTTGCACAGTCCCAAGAGACACCACTCTGTAAGGAAAGGAACAGGGAGTCAAAACGGGTTCCTTCCACTTCTTCTTGACTTGGAATAAGTGAGGGGGTCAATTCTACAAACCGAAGGACCTAAAATCCAACCCAGGGTGGATGTGTCCAAAATGGAAGTGCCTTTAAAACCTGTTGTCCATTGAGTTGGCTTGCTGTCAGGGTTCCGATGATTGCCCTCATTAAATCATGAGCCTCGAGCCAAGCTTCGAAGGAATCCAAACGATTTATTAGGAGCAACATGTCTGGCATTAATCTGTATGAAGCCAACTCTGAGACACATCATAAATCAGATTCTCCAACAAAACATGTTCACAGGCTGGTTGTCATCAATCACACTCTCCAATGAAGGATTTTCAGGGGCAGAAGATCCGGTAGCCTAGGCTACAATCTTCACAAGATAAGCGGGGAATGCGCTTCTGGCTCTCATCTGCCACACTGCTCCCTCAGGCCTTTCCCCCATCCTTCTTATGGCAACTCGGAAACAGGCATAGGAATGATTTACAAGTTGACCCGTTAGTTTTGCTTTTGAGTAAAAATTCAGGGGTTAAGTTGTATACAGGGGGCCCTGGTCTTAGGACTGCAATGGAGTTTGTCTATTATCATCATCATCCATCATCATCATCACCACCACCCCCAATGGTGATGATCCAAGTGACCGACCTGATTTTACTTTTTTGCGGGCGACTTTCGGCAAAACCATTGTAAAAAAGCGCTTACGGGATCGCGGGATGCTGCAAACAGTTGTAAAGGCGACCTAGTTCGCCGAGTGGCCGACACGGAGTCGTGTGACGGGGGAGGGAGGGGAAAAAAACCTTTCAGAACTGGGTCATATGTTCCTGCAAGGAAGTCCATTATAATTTCAGTCATAAAGTCAAGGACTTATTTATATGCGCTGTTTGACCGAGTCTTCAAGTCTTTGGGATCAATTCAGAGAATAAGTTCTCAGATACTATGAAATGTGGATCTCTCTTGCTCCCTCTCTCATATCTATCAACCAACTATCATGTCTGCCTGTCTGTCTATCAATCCATCTCTCTGTCTGCCTGTCTACCTTATCTATTTATCTGTCACCTATTATGTCTGTCTGTCCATCCATCCATCCATCCATCCATCCATCCATCCATCCAATCTATTAATCATCTATTATCTGTCTGCTGTCTATCTAATCTATCAATCAATCATCTATCATATCTATTTTTCTGTCTGTGTCTATCCATCTGTCTATCCATTCATCTAATCTATCAATCATCCATTGTCTGTCTATCTATTCTATCATCTATCGTATCTATCTGTCTGTGTCTATCTATCTACCATCTATGTAATCTATCAGATCTATATATCTGTCTGCCTGTGTCTATTTATCTAATCTATCAATCAAACATCTATCATATCTGTTGGTCTTTGTCTATCCATTCATCTAATCTAGCTATCATCTATTGTCTGTCTGTCTGTCTAGCTAATCTATCAATCATCTCTCGTATCTATTTATCTGTCTGCCTGTGTTTGCCTGTCTGTCTATCTATCTGTATCTATCTGTCTGTCAATCTAATCTAATCTATCCATCCATCCAGCAAAGGTTGGGGACCCACTGAATTGAAAGGCTGCCTATTATCCTGAACTTTTCTCCAAATTACCATCCATAATGCCCAGGGCGTAAGATGATCAAATGCCATACGAATGAATGCCGTAAAGATGCAAAGAGCAAAAAGTAAAGAACTCAAAGGGCCACCATAGTTAAAAGGCCACAGATCCTCACGAGGGGCCCCTGGGGCGCACCCCAGTCTGCGAATCGAGATATTCCTGAATCGAAATGTTAACATAAATGGACCGACCTGGCTCCGGAAACTTGTCTGGTGAAAAGCATCGATCCAAGCTGCGTGACAGCTTCAGGGTTTCGTTCGTCTAGTTCTCTCAGGGACATGGCTGAAAATACAAAATAAATAAATAAATAAAAAAATTAAAATAAATAAATAAATAATGGAATTTTACTCACTCTCTTGACATGGTTCAATATTACAAGGGCATCGATTTAAATTTAACTGTATTGCACGATCACCGTAGCCTTGGAATCAGAATTAGGTGTATCAGAATCTGCATTCTTTTTAGAGAGTCATTGAGACTGCTTGGAGGTTTGTCTGTGTCCTCAGGGTCACCTGAGTGGTGCAAATGGGTGGGGGGCCTTCTTGGAATGGCTGAAAGGTCTGTGTTGTAGACAGGAGATAGATGATGTCAGATCCCTTTGACAGAGATAAACTTCCAAGGGCCTCTACAACCTTCTAAAAGGATGCAAATGACCAACTGCTGAAAGGACTATAAGAAGGCTCTATACCTATTTGCACCTCTCAGGTAACCCTGAGAGCAGAAACAAACCTCCAAGTGGCCTCAATGGCCCTCTAAAAGGATGCAAATGACCAGCTGCATGAAAGGAGTATAAATCCTTCCATTCCCCACCATCCAGTCAGAGTTGAAGAAGCTTCTTGGATGAGAAGAGAAACTTCTTCAAAGAAAAACCAGAAAGTCCAGTTGCCTCTTGATGTAGCAAGTCAGACAAACTGGTTGTCCAGTCTCTTCTTAAAATCCTCCAGTGATGGAGCACCTACAACTTCTAGAGGGAAGTAGTTCCACTGATTTAATTGTTCTGACAGGAAATTTCTCCATAGTTCCAGGTTGATTCTCTCTTTTGATTAGCTTCCATCCCTTGCTTCTTGTCCAGCCTTTTGGAAAATAAGTTGACCCCCCCTCTTATTTATGGCAGCCTCTTAAATATTGGAAACAACTATCATGCTATCCCATGTGCAATATCTTCATGTTATTCTGCCCAGAATACGACACATCACACACTGCTTTGGAAGGGAAATCAACCAGTCATTTTTATGCATGTTATTCCATTAAAGCCAACCTTACCTAGAGAGATAGGATTGTGTGGTGTGTCCAACAATCTTTCGTTGTAGTTTTCTGCCAATTTTTTCACCTCTGTTGAAAGGTATGAAAACATTTCCTAAGAAAAAGAAAGAAACAAAGGAAGAAGGGAGGGAGGGAGGGAGGGAGGAAGGAAGGAAGGAAGGAAAACAATCCGTTTTGAGTCTTGCTAATCTCTGGGAAATGCTCTATATCTTAAGAGTTGCATGTCAAACGTTGCCTGCATCAAACACAGAGGTGCCTCTCCCGGCAACCATCTTGAAACATCCCCCTCACAGGTACAATTATAAAATGGTTGCTGTGGAGACAGCATAATAAAAAGTTGGGAGTGCTTTTCTTCGGTTCTTTGCAGGAGCAGGTAAGAGAAAGGGAAGAAAGGCAGAAAAGGGAAAAAAACGATGAAGAGACCACAGACCTGCAAAATTAGCAAGCAAAAGACGGAATACGGGGGGTAGTTTTCTTCCCCCAGTAAGAAAATGATTTCCGTCTCAATTTCAAGCATGAAAATTTCGAGAATATGTTGGGGCCCCTCTTGCCAAATGGCAAATTGATGTGGTTGGCCCGTATACAAGCAGCTGCCACGAGGGCATGGATTTTTACCAGCTATGACCTTTGAACCTATTTGCCAAATGCTTCTTCATACAATCTCTCTTTTTCTTGCCCTAGGGGCGCTTTTTGTTACGGAATAACAGAACTGCAAGGGACTTTGGAGATCTTCTAGTCCAACCCGCTATTCAAGCAAGAGACCTTTCTGCCCTTCCAGACAAATAGACTAGAATTCTTTATTGGCCAAGTGTGGTTGGGCACACAAGGAATTTGTCTTGGTGCAAATACTCTCAGCGTACATTAAAAAAAAAAAAACATTCGTCAAGATGGCTATCCAGTCTCTTCTTAAAAGTTTCCAGTGATGAAACACCCACAACTTTTGGAGGAAAATCCTTCCACTGATTAATTGTTCTCACTATCAGGAAATTTCTCTCCTTAGTTCTAAGTTGCTTCTCTCCTTGATGAGTTTCCATCCTTATTGCTTCTTGTCCTGCCTTCAGGGGCTTTGGAGAATAGCTTGACCCCGTCTTCTTTGGGGAATCCCTAAATATTGGAAGACAGCTCTCATGTCACCCCTTAGTCCTTCTTTTCATCAAACTAGACAGGCTCAATTCCTGCAACCTTTCTTCATATATGTTTTAGCCTCTAATTGCCAATCACCTTTATTGTTCTTTTCTGCACTTTTTTCTAGAGTATCGTTTACAGTTCCATGCACCGTTGTTTCTCTCTCTCTTTTTTTTTTTTAGAAAAAAAAGGATGAAAACAGCATTCTTAGAAATCTAGTGGAGGTTGAAGTTGTTTCTTTCCAGATCACGGGTTCTGCTCTGTTTTTTTTTTAAATAGAGGTTTTTTATGGAAAAAGCTGTTTTGCAAGGGACCAAGGTACATTTCCATAGCCCCAATGAAGTATAGATGAGAGGAAACCGTTCTCTGACTTGGTTCCTTTTTTCTCAGCACAATAAAACAATAAAGAAAAACATAAAACAAAGAGCTCTTAACTCATTAGAGGATATACATTTAACCCCCCCCCCCCCAAGTATAATGAGCTCTTAGATCTTGCAAACAGCTAGCTAAGCAATTTGCTGTGCAATAAATTAATGGACCTTAATACTAAGTTCTATTTCACTGGGGAATTTATGAGGATGCCCAAGCAGAAGTCTTAACTTTAAAAATGGTAACTGAATTTCATTGATTTTTCTTACATCGCCTATCCCATATTTAAGCCAGGTGCAAAAGAATATTACCATGCTAGAGAAATATTAAACAAGTTGTTTATTCCCTGCTGGAGTGTCAGCTGAATTTCTGGAGGCGGGGGAGTTAGGCAGTGGTGGGATTCCAATAATTTAAACAACCCCTTTCTCTGCCCTAATGATTTCTTCCAACAACCAGTTCACCAAACTGCTCAGCAAGATAATAACCGGTTCTCCTGCCTCGGTGTGAACTAGCTGAATCCCACCACTGGAGTGAGGACAAAAATAAAACAAAACAGTTCAGTTGTAAATTAAGCAAGACCAATGAGGAAGTTTGAACCTAAAGCAAGCTGTCAACTCATAAAATATTTCTATGGTCTTTTCTGAGTTGCCAACAGAAAGGGAGGGGGGGAGCAATGCGGCAGCTTGCAAAATGAAAGTGCATTCCACAAATGTTTTCAAAGATAGTAACTAGGTGACCGAAGTTTCTGCCGGCAAAATTCTAATTGGAGAACATGATTGATGACTTGGCTAAGGATGTGTCCCATTGGAGAACAGGAATTAGGATACACCCAGGGGGTGGGGGGGGAAAACCAGGGTCAAGGGTGACAGTGAATGATGTGTCTCAGAGTAGGCTGCACCCAGGCAGTGCCGGCATGTTTACTCCTAATAAATCTTCTTTAAGTTTTGGAAGTTCGGCTCGAGACTCATGATTTGAATGGGGGTAGCTGCCGGAATCCTGACACAAGCTATATTTCTTTTAGCTTCCAAGATCTGAGACTGAACTGCAGGTAGTCTTGGATTTATGACAACGGAGCCCAACGTTTCTGCTGCTGACTGGGACATTTGTGTCGTCAATTTTGCCCCATTTTACGACCTTTCTTGCCCAAGGGAATGACTGCCACTGTTAAGTTAGAATACTACCAGTAGTCCTCAACTTCCAGCTGTTTGTTTAGTGACCATTTCAAAGTTACAATGATACTGGAAAAAAGGGACTTCTGATCACGTTTCACACTTGTGACCGCTACGGCATCCCCATGGTTTACATTTGGATGTTCGACAACTGACTCATATTTATGAAGGATGCAGCATCCCAAGATCATGGGATTCCCCCCCCTTTTTTTGCAAACTTCTGATAAAGCCAAGTCCATGAGGGAGCCGGACTCACTTAACAACTGCCTGACTCCTTTAACAAAAGTGGTGAAACTCACTTAACAACCTTTCTCACTTAACAACGTGAATGTTGGGCTCGATTGTGGTCGTAAGTCGAGGACTGCTATCATGCTCCTGTTGGAGTCTGACTCTGAGGGAAAGGAGGAACAGCTGATAGGGAGTGGGAGTGTGGCTCCAGAGGTTGTGGAGGAAACTGGGGAAGGGCAAAGGCCGGCTGGGCATTCAGAAGAAGACTCAGGCCCATCCCTTCTTCATCCTAGAGCACACAGGGAGGAACAGATAAGGGAGAAATGTGAGTGGCATGGTCTACAGGGGAGGAAAGGGCCCTGATCCCCTTCATGGGCTGCAGCTGGGAGGACTTTTTAAAAGGACAAACTGCGCATGGCCTAGTGCTGGAAGCAAACTGTGAAATAATTCTAGTCTTTCAGTTCTTATCTGAGTCTGGCGTCTTTCTCAGTGTGTGTATTTCGATATCTGTGGACGTCTTCAAGCCCTTATCCTGCCTTGTCTCACTAATTGCTTCAGTATGGTTTGCGTTGTTTTTTCCCTATTTATAATTTATATGTATTTTGAGTTTGAACGACATTTCTTCCTTTTTGCAATTGTTTGTGTTTCCTTTTTCTCTAGTCAATGATAATTGGAGCTTTGAAGTCAAGTTGAAGGAATTAAAGGGACTTCACCCGTTTTTGTGACTTTGTTGCTTTTGTATCCCACCCTGGGTCATCTGTACTGATGTGAGGATTAAAGAAGGAAAAGAAAACCACTGCCTTAGTGGGGGGAGAAATAGTTTTTCCTCTTCCCCTCTCCCCAGTGGGTATAGTTTAGAACCAAAATAGAAACAGCACTAAAAATAGCTTTTCTGGAGAACATCATAGCTTCGATTTAGCTTTTAAAGAGCAATAAGGTAATAAACCGCTGGCATTAAATTTTATCATTCTGGAACAGGCCAAAAGAGACTCCGGCATTTTGAAGATATTGTGACATTTCGAGAACTAAAATTCATAAGAGCAAAAGTACATTTTTTTAGATCTGGGAGGAGTGCCCAAACTTGACAAATTTAAGACCAGAATAATGGAGCTGGAAAGGATCTTGGAGGTCTTCTAGTCTGACCCCTCTCACTCAAGCAGGAAACTGGGACCAAAATATCTGCTGGGGGGAGGGAGCTGAGGCTGAGTTGCTGTTTCCTTTAAGATTTTTTTCTCTCTTTTAGGGGAAATATATTTTCATTTTGCCACCAAAAAAGGCACCAGGTCTTATTTTCAGGGGATGCAATCCATTGACTAATCTCACTTGTGTGTGTCGCCCCCGCCTCCTTTTAGCTATCAGAGGCCTTCAGGAACTACGTCATCTGTGGCCGGCAAGGCTTTCCTGAAGGCCTCTGCAGCCAATAACTGAGCTCAGGATCGATCCAAAGCTTTGTTATCAGCTACAGAGGCTTTCAGGAAAGCCTTGCCAGACTTGGCCGGCTGCAGAAGAAATGGGCCGGCCAGGCAGGTGTTGAGGTGAGCGAGGCCTGGCTACACCTGTACAAAGGCAAGTAGTAGGGCAGCTCCACCCTCCCATCCTCACCCTAGCTTAATTTTTTCCGATCCACTCTGGAGTAGACGGGAACTTAATTAGGGCTTATTTTGGAGGTAGGGCTTATATTAGGCACACATGTAAAAAAAAACCAAGCTAGGACTTACTTTCAGGGTAGGTTGTATTTTGGGGGAAACAGGGTTATGTCCTGGGGGTAAAGTTTCTGTTTCCTCTAAGATTTTTATTTCTCTTTTAGGGGAAATATCTTGCCTTTTTAATAGTTCCTAAAATATTTCATTCCTCTAGGAGCGGGGGTGGGTGCTAACTTTCTACAAATCAAAATCAGAATCCAGAAGCTGCCCAAGACCCAAAGCCCTACGCATGCCAGTCACCTGCTCGTAAGTGCAAATCAGCACTTTGGGCCCTTTAATCCAGAAATGCTACCTTTCTTTCTCGAAGAAGTTGCCGGTATCCCTTGGTGCCCAAACTCAGCAGCGTAATGAGCACATCTAAGGAAGGAGAAGCCGAGGCTCTGCCTAGAGAAAAAAAGAAAGAAAGAAAAGCAATCGGTCATTTTTGTTCTTACTGTGAAAACAACAAACCTCTCGGGACATTTTGTTTAAAAAGTCATTTCCACTTTCATTTTTTTAAAAAAATCAATTTTAAAATTTACATTAAATTTTATAATCTAAGAGAGAATTTCTACGAGATGATGTATGCGTGGTATGTAATCACCAGATAAGTTATCCAAGATGTATAAAGGCATGTCAAATGAATGTTGGAAGTGTAAAAGCTCACAATAGAATACCTGATGCTAACAGGCTTGAAATTTTGGACCTGGACAACCTAGTACTACGGCCCCATACAGTCTGACCTAAGTTAAGGACACAAAATTGTCTGCCACAATGTCCTGCCTGTCAACAACTACTTCAGCTTCAACCGCAATAACACACGAGCAAACAATAGATACAAACTCAGAGTAAACTGCTCCAAACTCAATTGCAAAAGATATGACTTCAGCAAAACAGAATGCCTGGAACTCACTGACTGCTTAGAAAGTTAACTGGTTGAATCCCACCACAATTTTATAATACTCTATAGTGGTTCAGCAGCCAAGGATGCTGAGCTTGTCGATCAGAAAAGTCGGCAGTTCAGTGGTTCGAATCCCTAGCGCCAAGTCATGGAGCGAGCTCCCATTCCTTGTCCCAGCTTCTGCCAACCTAGCAGTTCGAAAGCATGTAAAAACGCAAGTAGAAAAATAGAGACCCCCTTTGGTGGGAAGGTAGCAGACTTCCGTGAGCCTTCGAAGGCGTTTAGTCCTGCCGGCCACATGACCATGGAGACGTCTTCAGACAGCGCTGGCTCTTCGACTTTGCAACGGAGATGAGCACTGCCCCTTAGAGCCAGAAACGACGAGCATGTATGTGCAGGGAGGGGAACCTTTACCTTTTTACCTTATAACTTCACAAAAAATGTTTTTTAAAAAAACCAGCAATGACGTACCTGGATACATTTTGCTGATTTCCTGTATGAAGGCGTCACTGAAGCCAGCGATGACAGCACCACCTACTGGAACCATGAAATTTTTGTCCAAACTTTGCACAAAGGCATCGATCCGGCCTCTTCGGGCGCCCTAAAAAAAAAAGACAAAATTACACACATACACACACACACACAAATCAGGAAGAACAAAAAAATGATAAAAAGTTCCTTTTTAATCTTGTAAAAGTTGGGTTCGCACGATGCAATGTCACAGCCCATAGCTGTCTGGGCCTTTCTGGGTTAGGTGATACCCCCCCCCCCCAAAAAAAACTACAGATAGTCCCCAATTTACAACTTCATTTAGTGACCGCTCAAAGATACGACGGCCCTAAAAAAGTGAAATAGGACAATTTCCCACTCTTATGACCATTGCACCTATCACCACCACCCCGCCCCCATGGTCTCGTGATCCAAATCCAGATAGTCTTGGCAGAAGAAGGCAAGTACAAACCATTTCCAGAAAACAGGTAGTCCCGTTTCCCCCCAAATAAGACCGTCTTATATTTTTTCCCCACCAAAAAAGGCACCAGGTCTTATTTTCGGGGGAACGTCATCCATTGACTAGCCTCACTTGCATGCATCGCCGCCGGCCTCCTTTTCACTGTCAGAGGCCTTCAGGAACTTCTCAAGGCTTTCCTGAAGGCCTCTGCAGCCGATAACTGAGCTCTGGATCAATCGGGAACTTTGTTATCAGCTCCAGAGGCCTTCAGGAAAGTCTTGTCAGCCTTGCTAGTCGCAGAGGAAATGGGCCAGCAAGGCAGGTTTCGGGGTGTGACAGGCCTGGCTACAACTGTCCAAAGGTAAGTAGTAAGTACAGCTTCACCCCCCCATCCCGACCCTAGCTTAATTTCTACCCATCCACTCTGGAGTGGGTGGAAACTTAATTAGGGCTTATATTGGGCGCACGTGTAAAAATCAAGCTAGGACTTACTTTTGGGCTAAGGCTGTATTTTGGGGGAAAACAGGGTACTTTCTTCCCATTAAAACAATCAATTTCTTCATTTCTGCTAGCTCCCTTATTTTTTCCCCCTAATCCTGCCTTCTTCTGTGGTGGGGTGCTGACCTTACCTGCTGAATGAGATGCATGCACTTGGAAGACTGAACTCCATACGCATTATTCACAATGTGGGGGACATTGTACTTGGCGCACATCTCAGCCAGTTCCTCCAATCTGCAAATTACAAAACGGGAAAGTTCCGGCAAAAAGGTCAGAACTGAAAAACATTCTGTGAATTTTACTATATGCATATGACAGACAAGCTTTTTAGAACAGAATGGAATGGAAGAGAACAAAACAGGAGAATAGCATGGCCTGGCATAGCACTGGATAGAATACTATAGAATAGGGAAAGAAAATAGAAATAGGAAAAGGAACAGAATAGAATAGACTACTGTAGAATATGGAACGAAAATAGGAATAGGAATATGAATAAGAATAGAATAAAATAGAATAG